GCGCTACCGCTTGAGCCACATCCCCAGCCCAATATATTTTTCTTTACTTTGTACTACTACTTTTCTTTACTTTGAAAGACTGCTTTAAGGACAAATGATAAAAATATACAACTTTCACTAAAATGCATGATGATTCCAAGAACCTTTAAATTTTATTACATGTATTATTTGAAAGCACTGAATTAGACATGTTGTACAATATGCTATCACTTCTGTACCTCTAGAATTTTCTTTTTTTTTGAGAGAGAGAAAACTTTTTAATATTTATTTTTCAGTTCTTGGCAGACACAACATCTTTGTTTGTATGTGGTGCTGAGGATTGAACCCGGGCCACAAGCATGCCAGGTGAGCGCGCTACCGCTTGAGCCACATCCCCAGCCCTCTAGAATTTTCATATAATGTTAGGATATACTCTGAGTATGCCTCAACTTTCCTCAGGAAGTTATTAATGATTTAGGCTTTAGGAAAAAGTTTTCTTCTTTGAATCTGTTGAAAATTTAATTTTCTATTTGTACAGATGTGGCCACAGAGCCTAGTTCAGAATAGTGATCATAAGTCATCATTTTGAATGAAAACATGAGGTAAGATTATACATAATGTTAACTTTTGAAAAGAATAAAGTAATGATGACTTTCACTTTTGCTGGGAATGAGGCAACCAAAAAGGCTCTTTTATATTTTTCCCATTCACTCAACCAATACTGAGAATGCAATCTGAATGCTAGGCACTAAAGGATTATAAAATGTACAAGACACTTTTGCTGCCTTGCAGGAATTCTAAGATGCTTCAGGATTGTGACTTTACAGGCTCTGGAAAAATTAAAGTACTAGCTATACAAATACTTAGTAGGGATATTGTAGAAAGGATTCTATCATTAGTTGGAGAACTGGACTAGTACAATGGTTTTCAAATTATGCCCTATAATCCTTGGGGTTTCCTCAGAGTACATTTCCAGAGTAGGTGAGGTGATGAGTGGCTGGGCCTCCAGGACTTTAATCAGAATACTGTTTTTAAATTCTAAAAATAATGTTTGGACCAAGGTAAAAAATTTTAAAACTACAGACCTAGACTTTAAGGTCCCTTCAAACCTTGAGTTTATGATGATAATACAGTACTCATTCAAATATTATTGAAAGCTATTAAATTCTTTTCTCAGAATTAAGTCAAACATTTGTTACTATTGTACTTTGTAACTCACACTTATATAATGTTCTTGGTCATCTTCTAAATCATCTTTGTCCATTAGGATTTTTTGAAGTGGTGTTTTCAATTGTTTTGGTGATAGTATAGCTGAATCAATATTTTCCATTCGTTCTTTCTCAGTGGTCACTTTTACTTTGAAGGTGTGAAAAGGTGTTGGGACTTCTCCCACATTTAAGTACATAGGCTCCCCTTCAAATATTACTCCTTCACAATCACCATCCTTAAAACCAGGAGGCTGGTAGTCTGGGGGTGTAACTGCAAAAAAGTTAAGTATAAACTGTCCTGTTAACAAGACTGAAAAAATTTTATTACTATTAAAATACACATACAGATTAAATTTCAAAGAGCATGAAAGGACTTAAACTGAAAAATACAAAGTCATCCTCCTACTATTCACATTTTTTTTTTTTTTTTTTTTGGTACCAGGGATTGAACTCAAGAGCACTTGGCCACTGAGCCACATCCCCAGTCTTATTTTGTATTTTATTGAGAGACAGGATCTCACTGAGTTGCTTACTGCCTCACTTTTGCTGAGGCTGGCTTTGAACTTGCAATCTTCCTACCTCAGCCTCCCAAGCTTCTGGGATTACAGGTATGCACCACTGCACCGGCCTATGCACATTTTATTTCCTAAAGGTAACTTTTCCTTCCTTTCCTTCCTTCCTAGGACTGAAGGTAGGGACACTCTACCAGTCAGCTACATCCTTGGTACTATTTATTTATTTATTTATTTGTTGTGCTGGGAATCAAATCCAGAGCCTTATGCATGCCAGACACACATTCTACCACTGAGCCACAATCTTGGCCCTTGTTCTTTTTATTTTTATTTTGAGACAGGGTCTCACTAAAGTTGCTGAGGCTGACCTTAAACTTGTGATTCTTTGGCTTCAGTCTTTTTTTTTTTTTGTAGTTGTAAATGGACAGAATGTTTTTTTTGTTGTTGTTTATTTTTTTGTGGTGCTGAGGATTGAACCCAGTGCCTCACACATGCTAGGCAAGCGTTCTTTCACTGAGCTACAGCTCCAATCCTGTCTCAGTCTTTTGAGTCTCTGGGATCAAAGGGATGGGCCACCATGCCTGTGTAACTTTTAGCAAATTATTTTTCATCCCTGATTTGGTTTCTTTATCTGTCAAATGAGGAAAATAAGTTACCTACCCTCATAAATTCACTGTTTATAAAACAAATTAAAGCACTGTAAAATGTTCAGAAAAGAACTGGCAGAGTTAGTATTTTCTAAATGTTGTTATTATAGTTACCTTATGTTCTACAAAACATTATGAATGTAATAAAAGAATGTTTCATATTTACACAGGTTTTAGGAAATGCATGTCCTTAAAAAACAAATGAGACATATCATTCTGTACCTAGTTCTTATTTTTTATTTTTTGGTACTAGGGATTGAACCTAGGGGCACTTAACCACTGAACCACATCCCCAGCCTTTTTAAATACTTTAAAGACAGGGTTTCACTGAGTTGCTTAGGGCCTCACTAAATTGCTAAGGCTGGCTTTGATCTTCCTGCCTCAGTTTCCCAAGCCACTGGGATTATAGGCATATGCCACCATGCCTTCTTCATTTAATAATCTCTCTTATTAGACAATTTGCCAGAACATCCTTTGTTACCACTTGCACAGTATTCTATTCTACAGACGTTCCCTAATTTATTTATTCATACCTAAAAAAGGACACTCAAGGTGATTCCAATTTGTTCCTCTTTTAGTCAAAGCTATAATGAAAATTCTTATAAATATGTAGTCTTACATATACAAGTATATTCTCAAATTTTTTTCTAACTATAGATCTTTTAATTTAAAATTTTGATACTGCCAAATTGTCTTCTGAAAATGTTGCACTTATATGCATTCCCTCAAGAAGCTATAAAAGTACCTGCTTTCCCACACCTTTGTCAATAAAGAATTTACAAATTTTACCAATTTGATAAGTGAAAATTGGCATATCATTGTTTTATTTCCTTAATTATGAGGCAAGTTATACATTAACATGTTCCTATCACTAGAAAAGTGTATATTTTTATATATTTAAAGAAGTGTAATTCTGGCAACTTGGGAGACTGAGACAGGAGGATCACAAGTTCAAGGCCAGCCTGGGCAACTTTGTGAGATTCTTTCTCAAAATAAAAATAAAAAGGGGCAAGGGTTGTGGCTCAATAGTAGAGGGTTTTGGGTTCAATCCCCAGTACAACAAAACAAAAAAAAATGAAAACGAAAGACTATTTTTTTCAAATCTTTCCTTTTCAAATAATGCTGTTATATGTGAAATTTATAATTTCAAAAAATATATAAAAATTTAGGTGCTAAAAACATTTGGAATGGTACCCAAACTCTTTTAATAATGGTATAACACACAGGTACTGACTAAAACAGGACATATTGCAAATAATACCTTCATCGTAGTAAAAAAGTTTCATGGTCAAACAAACATCATTAGGTAAAGGTCCCAGATTTTGCATTAGAATATAAATCTTGCGAATGAGGAGAATACTTGCTTTCTTGGTATCAGCAGATGACATGCTAGATTCATTACTTTGATTTTTACTAGAAGAGAATCAGATATTAATTTCTTTCACAAAACTTGTGACTTCTAATATCATAACTTCACATTTTAACTAATTGAGACTCTAATTATAGCACCATGTTAAGCTGAAAGTTACAATAAAATGTGTTTTAATGTCACTATTATAAAATTTTTAATATCACTATTAATCTCATTATTATAATCCCACAGTTAATTTTATGTAATATGCATTTTATGTAAGGTGTTTAAAGGAAATGATGGATTTTAATTATATTTCTAATAACTCAAGTTCCTCTTCACAATTGAAAATAGTATATAATTAGCTATATAATCATCTTTGTAGCCACTCCAAGTCACTATTCCATTTGTATAGTCACATCTTGGTGGCTAATTAGGGGTTTGACAAATTTGAGAATACTGAAATTTAGTTTTATAGTATTAATGAACAAATAATCTGTAAAATTAAAAAAAAAACCTACATAACAGTACCTTATAAAGTCCATGATTGGTCCATTTTTTGTGTACTTGAACTTAAACTGGTAACATTCTGAAATTGTCTTAAATAGAAAACATTGCCATTATGTAACTGTTACATAGTTGTAGCTGCCAAATAGTTATATACTGCTTTTTTATGACTCTTAACATTTAGTTAACAGTTTTTTCCAACATGTTGACCCCTATTGGTCCATTGACACTCTCAATTCTTCATAGTCAATCCTTATGATCTGGATTTCGAGTTTCAGTCTAATTCTCCCAGTCATTGCAATGTGTTATGTGTATCAAGTGTTAAGAACTCTTTAGTAAGCAGGCAAGAGAGAGATAATACCTTAACAAAATGTGTTCCCCAAAGTTCTTGTATTAAACACTTAATCCCTAATACAACAGTGCTGAGAGGTAAGATTTTTAAGAGAGAATTAGGTCCAAAGGGCCTTTATTAATGGATTAATGCTGTTATCACAGGACATATTGCAAATAATACCTTCATCGTAGTAAAAAAGTTTCATCTATTGTGGCAGTGGGTTCCTGATAAAAGGATGAGAGTTTGAGGGTTTTTTTTTTTCCCCCCTCTTTCTGTCGCTTTGGGATTTTTCTTCCCTTTCTTTGTCTCTTTAACCCATGCTCTCCTGTCCTTCCATCTTCCACCATGTGATGATGCAGCAAGAAAGCCTTTATTAAATGCCAGTGGCCCCTAGATCTTGGACTTTGCAGTCTCCAGAATTGCAAAAAATTAATCTATCTTTTCTTATAAATTTTCCAATTTCAAGTATTTCTGCTATAGCAGCATAAAACATTAAGACACTGCCATAGCCAGGTGTGGTAGCATATGCCTGTAATCCCAGTAACTCAGGACACTGAGGCAGGATGATCACATGTTCAAGGCCAGCCTCAGAATTTAGTGAGACTCTGTCTTAAAATAAAAAATAAAAAAGGGTGGTGGACTTAGAGTGGCCCCAGGTCCAATCCCCAGTATCAGATGAAAAAAAAAAAAAAGAAAACAACTATTATGGTTTGAAAGTCACTATTAGACCTCAAAACTCAAACTGAAATTTAATCCTCAACCTGAGGTATTAAGAGGTGGGACCATGAAGGTACTTTAAAAAGGGATTAGATCACGAGGCCTCTGCCCTCATGAATAGATTGGTCCATTCATGGGCTAATGGATTAATAGATTATCTCCAGAGCTAGGCTGTTATAAAAGACAGTTTGACTCTGTCTCTTGCATGAGACTGTCTCTTTTCATTATTTGATGCGTGTGCCATCTTAGGATTCAACATAGAGTCCGCAATAGCAGGAAGGCCCTCATCTGATGTGGCCCCTCAATCTTAGATCCAAGTCTCCAGAACTATAAACTGACTAGGCCTTTATTCTTTTACAAGTATCCCATTTTTGCTATTTAGTTACAGCAATAGAAAATGAACTAAGATATACACTAAGCACAGTGTTTAAATCTTTACTATACTGTAACCATATACAAGCCATTTAAACTTTGTTTTCCAACCTAAAAAATGGTTGGAGACAATACCTAGCTAATTGGTAATGGTAAATTTTATCAAATGGGATAATTTATACAAAGCCCTTAATAAAGTTCCTGACACACATTAAATATTCAATAATACTATTAGTACATCAGTAAAGTTGTTTATTTACTGATAGAAAAGTACACAACTATAAAACATATGGTAATAAACATTTTCAAAACAATTAATTAGTTTTCTGAACAGTCAACTAATTTATATCCTTTGCCCAAATCATGTGCTTTGTCACTATGGGCGTATATTAAGCATTGATAGCCAGCATGAATATCAGAGAAGATATATTCCTAATCCTCCTGAAGCTTGGAATACTTTGCTTTCTTTACATGTCAGTGCTCACATAAAGAAAGGAAACAGTTCTCTTTTTTAAAAAAAAATAATTTTATTTATTTATTTATTTTTATGCGGTACTAAGGATCGAACCCAGTGCCTTATGCGTGAGAGTGTTCTACCACTGAGCCACAAAAACCCAGCCCCCTATCTTTGTTTTTTAAGTAAGTTTAAATCTGTTTTTCCATGACTGTGTGAAACATTATATTTTAACACCTGTAATGTAATGGTTAAGCACTTAGAGACCATGGACAAGAAACCTTGTACCTAAATTTCCTAATCTATAAAGTGGAGATGATAATCGTAATTACCACATGAAGGCTATGATGAATAAATGAAAGTGCTCATAAAGTCTAAGAACAGGCACTACTATAAAATATGCATTCAGTCGTTCCCTCGTTTCTTATCTTCTCGTTTTCCCTTTCATTTCTTGTTCTGCCTCTCTCCTTTAACTGTAGTAGATGTGCCTCAATTGAGATGAATAGTCAAAGTTTAAGGATGAGTTCATTTTTTCTCAAAACTCATGTCTTTTGATAATTGCAGATAAGGAATATTGTAATTAAATAAGAGTCAGGCAATTTAGGTCATATCTAACAGTTTGTAAGCTTTGTGGGCTAGGATTAGTTACATAATTTTGCATAGTAACTGTATTTATCTGTTTAAACAGAATGATACAGGCCCTGACTCACTCCAGAAGACCTTTACAAGGTTTAAACATGAAAATAAATACAAGGGCTGGGGATGTGGCTCAAGCGGTAGCGCGCTCGTCTGGTATGTGTGCGACCCGGGTTCGATCCTCAGCACCACATACCAACAAAGATGTTGTGTCCACCGAGAACTAAAAAATAAATATTAAAAATTCTCTCT